CTCGGCTCTATCTCTCCGAGATCTTGGAACTATTGAGCAAAATCATTTAAATAAGTGGAGCCTGTCGTAGTTCGTTATCGTATGGTCTTGTATATGTTATGCTAGTATATGAATGTCTCTTTCATATGTATCTGATTTTTTTGCCCTTTCTGTAATATTGGATTTTTATGTTATGTGAGTTTGGTGAACCCGGTTTTGTTATGCTGAAAAATAAGATTGATAAATGATTGTATTCAAGCAGTAAAAACTTCAACAAGAAGATGGAAATCGGACTTATGTGCCATTTGCTTTCTTATCTGTGAGAGTAATTAATCTTTTAATGAGTTATCGTTCTTGCCTGTACTCGTACCATAAAGAGAGAAGTCTTTTGGCATAGATTTTGTAGTTATTGTAGTTATTTTTATCTGAACTATGGGCTACTAAATATGCGACATGAGTGGATGTGCAGATCTTTTCTAGAAGTCTCTTGAGTATATATGTGAATATATTTGGCCCCTCCACGCATTCGTTCAGATTTTTAGCGTAGGAGCGAGTGGTTGGGTAATATTTTAGTTTTGTTAGTTAACAGATGAGGGCTGGGAGATTATTGATGCGATTCATCGGTTTTCTGTCAGAAGAATGGCACTCTACATCGTGACTCACTGCATAACTCGTTCGCCACCGGAGACTCGCTCGCGCACTATTCGGAATCTCCGCGCTCTGATTCTGTTGCCTTTTCACTATTTGTTTGTGAGTCTGTGAAATTTGTATGTTTTTCTTTTGCAGTGACTAGCTGAGTTGTCCAGCCGTTTCTTGGTGGATCCAGTTGTTGTTTGCGAGGATTGAGGATAGCTTTACTGCGGTTTGTTTACATGTATCCAAGATTCTTATTCGGTACTATTATTGTTACTCATTAGTTTTTTCAGGGCGAATATAGTCGGTACAACGCCGTACTTCGAAGCAGGTACTTCTGAAATGCTCCCTGAATCGGCTGTCAACCACCGCATTGTGATTATCGAGGATTGCGGATATGCGGGAGTCGACCAGGATGCCGAACGTCGTAGAGCCTTAAAGCAGTTGGATAGAGCCCTCGAGCAGAGGTTTCAGACCATTGTCATTGAACCGATACGATTGGGTATGTGTACCGATGCTGATGCTCGTTTTTATGCTTTGTAAATCTGAAGACATTGTAATTATAACTGGTTTTTTGACTCATACTTGAGGGCTCTACAGGAGTCTCTTGAGGAATCTAAAATCACGCAGCATAACACAATAAATGTTTTTATCATTCATAGACTCTTTATTAAGTCTTTCAACTACAAATCAAGAATTGACTACAGTTACAGTAACAGGCCCAGAATCAAAAACAAAATCTTGTTTATACAATGGATTGTATTTTTTATGTTTGCACATGAGGTCAAAAGATACAGCATACGGATACAGCAGCAGCAGTAGTAGCAGCAGATCATATATCATTCTTGACATGCTCGTTCACGAGGTATGGGGGTGGGCAGTTGTGCAGTGAGTTTGTAGTTTGGTCTACTCTTTGGGGGTGCCGGGTTCAAACCTCACGCGTGTCGTAAGTCTTTTCTTATTAACCGTTAATTCCAAAATTCCTAATTGATAAAAAAGTCTCTCCCTTGTGTTTCAGTACAATTCCCGGAAAAATGGGTAGCAGCTAAGATAAAAAGCATGGTGTTTTGGTGTGGTCATGCGTAAGCGTGCGAGACATACGACCGTATTTTCTGCTGCTTTTGGCGTCCGCTTACAATTCGCCTGGACCTAGTTGACTAGTTACTAAAAGAATCAGCACAAGTTGTAAGCATAAATTTAAAATTTAATAAATTTATTCTTCGTTCATAGTTGTAGCCACATGAATATAAAAATAAAAGTTATGCACCAAATTTCCTTGTCTTGATTATCCCAAATGGCATAAAGGTAATTGTTTTTTATATTCCTAGGCATCATGTTTCAGGCATCACCAGATTTTTTCTGTCTATCTCATATACAAGTCATCGTTTTTCGATCAGCAGGTGGCTCGACACGGAAAAATGTTTTGCCATATTTTGTTTTCATCGAATATTAATACATGCGATGTTGCCATGTTGTTTCGCTGAGCTTATATTCAAAGTGAACTTTTCTCCCGTCAGAATAATGGTGATTAAGGGTAGTAGAAATAGGCCGTCGACCACCCAGCCAGTTTTCTAATTAATGGGTACTTATGTAAAAAATTTCTATGTGGAACAGCACATCTCTGCAACGGAGAATACAGTCTGTGAAATCAACAGAAGATCAGACATGCCATGGAACACTTTTGGAACACACAAAATGTTCTTATCTGTACAACTGCCTCTGTGTTTGAGTGTACCCACCGAGTGCTAAACTGGGTGCGAAACGTCGACCCTAAGGCTGAAGGCTATTTATAAATTGAAAATTATGCAATGCGGCATGGAAGGATGTATTTTTGGAATTAAAAAGAAAGATTGGAAAATAAAACAAGGGTTCAGACACAAACAGGAGTCGGTGATGTCATGGTTATGACAGAGTCTTGGATAGTCCTTCTTCCAGCAGGTGATTAAAAAATGGTGGCGGTGTTTCTAATGATAATATGACAGAAACAGGGTAACTCAGTAGATAGAGTATGGAAATTATACAGTCGAAAGATTATGAATTTGATCCATTGTCAGGGCACTCGTCTTTTATTTGTTCTGAGGTATATATACGATTGCCACTTGATGGGAAAGGATGAAAGTTGCTCCAGTTTGTACTTGCCACCGCTGTAGACACTGCCTTTGAGCTGAAGTCTCATGTAGTTAATGGTACGGCAACAGAAATCAACGCCGCACCGTAGCCTAAATGAAAAGCAGGGTGCCACTGACGAAAGTGAAATGGAGATCGACATTCCACCGTTTGCAAACTTTCCTATTTCTTTTCCGTATTAAAGATGGCTATTGACATATCTGATCCTTGTAAGGGATGATGATATGATATATAAGTCTGGCATCTGGTTATTGCCATTCAAATTGCGTGTATAACATTGTTTTCTTCAGAAATAGTACTTCAGATTTTCAGATTCAGCGCCCATCGTTATATAGATAGATGATTGAACGATTCATGATTCAGGGTACGGAGTGCAACAGATGGTAAAACCTTTATTGCCAATGCATTTCGCTGCATCGACCATAGTATCATCTGGGCTGGGATCTGTTTTTTACTTTTCTTGACTCTTCACGCTCATGAGTTTTCGTATACTTTTACAGATCAGATGGCATGAAGAAGAAATCATTCATACTTTTTCACTGACTAATGTACATAGCGATTCTCAGTCCTTTTCCACAAGCTGTGTGTAGTCAACGTGTTTTGCCACAAGAGACAATAAGAATTTTATCATTTCGGTTGCGACAGCTCGATTGATTGACTATTTGACGTTCGTGTCAATCCTTCCAAGCTAACATGACGTTTCAGAAGTATACATCAAGTGTACCTTATCCTTTCGTGCAATCTCTGCGCTTTTCTTTGTTTGCTTTCTGTAACCTTGACACATAAGTTGGTTGGTTCATGTACAGCTGGATTTCGGTCTTTGTTTAGGTACCTTTTTCAGGGAATGTTGAGCTATTATATGCCATCTGGGCATAGTTGCCTTTATTTTCAATGTATGTAAAGAATTAATTCCAACAACAGGCCTGCAATGCTTGAAACTGTTTTTTGTTTAACCATTGCAAAGTCGCGTGACACTTTTTTTTCATTTAGGCGACGAAACTAGCCGCTGGATAGCCTTTGGTAATATGATACACAGGGTGATGCTTCTGGGTGGTTTCGGCTCGTTGGTTGCGGCGCGTTGTTTTCCTCAATGGCCTGCTTTATGGATCACCTCCTCCGGGCTGTCCGTCATCTCTTATTTACTTTATCGATTCAGCTGGCAGACGGACCCATGCTCTGAGTATCAGGTTGAACAAGATGCCGCGCGGCTAGCTTCATTGGACCTGAGCAACTGCCATTCGTCGACCGCCGTGGTGCTTGTTCACAAGGCCACTACGTATCGAACCTTGTTTCATACGTCAGCAGTGCTTATGTCGGTTCTTTTGATCATGTTCAAGCTTCGAAAATTGTATTCGTAATTTTTCAGATAAAATAAATCATTTTAAGACAGTTTGAACAAACGTGCCGACCGCTACAATGATCAGAAACGGCCTCTACAGTGGGCATTGAGCGTTTTTTTCCGGAAGACATTAATCTTTAGCAATTGTTGTTGTCGTATATCATTAAGGATGATGATAAAAGCAGAATTATCATGTTATGAGAGAAAAATTCTGATTTGTGATTCATATGACATTGCCATTATACTGATTCACAGTAGCTCATTATATACTATTTTATTGAAGCATGGTGTATGATGACAAGTTTGCCAAGTGTGCGTTAATGGCAAAAGTGACGATTTCAGCTCCATTTTAAAGGCTCTCGCCGTGGCTCTTCACTGTGCGTGAGGAAGAAAAGTTTTGCCTACATTTGAGGGTCAAAAGCCTTCTCGGATCTCTGCTCTATAACCGTTTTGGCTTCTTCATCCGGAAAGAAATGAATGTTTATTTTCTGTTTACGTTTGAAAATTTATTCATAAATTTCAATGCAAATCACCATGGCAAAAAAATTAAACATTTAATAATATTTGACTAGCGCTTATAATTTGCCGAAACTCCTATTGTCTCGATTTGATTGCACGTTTGTCTCCGCATCCATTACGATGAATAATTCTTGTTACTGTTCGAGAAAGCCTTTGCTTCACGTAGTTGTGTCACTAGAAGGCATTCCGTATTATTTCTGAATCAGTTGCAACGTATTTAAATAAAGAAAATCTTCCATATCGTGCCATGCAAAAACTTGAATAAAGATGAATGGCACGGAGTTATCCTCAGTCTCAAGACTTAAACTTAAAGGATTAAGAGTTATTAGAGTAGACCTAGTCAGAACTACATTTGTGTCTGCCCTCTTAACCAACTACGTCTCAACATTGCAGTGCATGTTTTCAGTCGTTGTTTATTCACTTCTTGCTCTAAAAGGCCATCAGCTCCAATGAAGATATAGGCATGGGCTAGCTGTTTCGTTCT